TTGAAACCCATCCTATTCTTATCCGCCCACCCTTGTAACCTGTCCAGGTCCGATTGTAGCCTGCTTCTTCCTTCTAGTGTGCCCACGTCCCCCCACATCTTAGTGTCATCAGCAAATTTGAACAGGGTGCTTTTCACCCCCTCGTCCAAATCACTGATGAAGATGTTGAACAGTGCAGGCCCGAGGACCGAGCCCTGCGGAACCCCACTGCCCACGTCCTTCCAAGTTGAGAAGGACCCATCCACTACCACCGTCTGGGTGCGGCACCCCAGCCAGTTGGCGACCCATTTGACTGTGTGGGTGTCTACACCACAGCCTCCCATTTTCTTAATGAGAACTGGGTGAGAGACAGTGTCAAAAGCCTTCCGGAAGTCCAGGAAGACTATGTCCACTGCTACCCCTGCATCTAATGATCTGGTGATCTGATCATAAAAAGCCACCAGGTTGGTCTGACAGGACCTGCCACTGATGAACCCATGCTGATTGCCCCTAAGCATGCAGTCCCCTGCTGTCCCCTCCTGGATGTGTGCCAGAATTATTTTCTCAAACAGCTTGCCTAGGATCAAGGTAAGACTAACTGGCCTATAGTTTCCCGGGTCCTCCTTCCTCCCTTTTTTGAAGATTCAGTTAATCATGTTGGAGTAGACATCCAGCACATGTGTAGGTGCCCAGAGATGCATTACCTTAAGTACATTAATGAATATGTAGATATGCCCTCAGTGCTGAAAACATGGTTCAAGAGTAAATAAGGGGAAGACAGAAACCATCCAATTCACTATTTTTACAGTCTGTTTTTAAATTCACTATTTTTAAATACAACTAGTTTTGTAAGGGAAAGAAATATTTTGGAAATACAATACTCTTATTAGCCATCATCTAAAACTGCAAAATATAAGAAGCTTCATATTGTTGATCAAAGTTGAATGGTATGAGCTTGCATTGACAGATGGAAAAAAATGTTTGGGGATTCTACTGCAATTGTAGTGTGTTCCTGTCTAAATAATGTGTTACTTGAGAATTTCAAGCTTCAGGTAATAAATCAACTACTAAATGAGTTGAATGATTCAACTGTTATATTCAGTCAAAGTTTGTTACTGGACAACTGCTATGCAGATTCCATGTAATGAGAACTGCTTAGACACCACAGGAAAGAGTACTATAAAAGCCCATAGCTAGTTGAAAACTGTTTTCTTTCACCAGTACATTTGTGAAACAATATTGTTGAATGCAAAATTGCCAGCACAAAGACCTGAACAAGTGTTTAATGTAATTCAGTAACACTGTTAGGGCATATGTAACTCTGATACTACTCTAATCATTCAGTGTTACTGTAGCACTATAAAAATGTTTAAATGATTGCAACTGACAATAATAAACAGCATGGACAAACCTACAGGCCACGTCCAAACAAGCGTGGTTGAGTGGTATGTGGCACTGTGCCACATACCACGCGTTCAGCTCTTCTCTGTGCTCAAAGTTTGAGGAGATCCTGGGGTCAAAAAAAAATTGCGCCAAAAAAAAAGAGGAGTGGTGCACTTTGGGGTAGCAAGTGCAACCCAAAACCAGAGCCTGGCTGGCTGGAGCCACACTTCAGCTGCTGGCCAGGCTCGGAGAGACAGGATCGCCACTGCAATAGTCCCAGAAGGCCCCCAGGACCCAAGGTAAGGCTGTTGGGGTCATCCTAGTGCTGGACCCAGCCTTCCCTAACCAAGCCAGGGTAACCTGCCACATGCCAGAAGGCACATGGCACAGGAGTTCCCCAGGGACAAGTAGCAGCAGCACAGCTTGTCTCCAGGGAAACAAACATCTATGCTCATGCAGACACAGCCACAGGATACAAACTATTGCACAGAGAACCATATTAGATGAAGATGAAAACCACTTTTGATATCCATCTCCAATCTTTGGACCTGGTTTGGTTTCTGAACCAAATGTTAGCCTGCCTCAAGGATGCCCTAAACTCTTCTAAGTGCTGTGACCCTCAATAGGCTGCTTTGGCTGTAGCCTACTGCAGGTGTAGCATTGCTTAAATGCAATGACTGCTGTAGCATTTCTTGATCAGACACCTGTCTTCTAACCTTATCTTCTAGTTTGAGGTCAAGAGAGAGTGTCATAGAGCTGTGGCAAACTTCAGGGATCTTGAATGGAGAAGTACAGCTTACTGGAGAGGGGCATCAGAAAGCCAATCATTTTGACATGGCTAGAAAGCTGCATGCTTCTCCATAAGATGGCTCCCATAAAGAAGACCCAGCTTAATTTTTCTGAAACACAGAATCCTCTTATCTTAATCATCTAGTACATGGTTCATGAAATATGATGTCAGCAGTCAGTGAAGCAATTCAGAACAAGGAAGAGAATATGATGAAAAGGCAAAGTGACACCAGAAACAGAATGCAAAGGCAGCAGGGAAGGACTTTGATCACTGGCAAAGTGCTGGATTTCCATTTTTAAAAAACCTTCATACAAGCATAGGAATGGAAGCAATAATGAAATCAGCACACTGAGCTGAATATAGGGCATAAAGATAAGATAAAGACAAGAAAATGAAAGTTTTTTTTTTAATTTTTACTATCCCACATAGACAAAGAAAGGTTGAAACACAGGTGCCAGTTGTTTCAGCAAATATGTTAGAGCAGCTGATAAAGGTGTATGATGCACAGAAATTCCAAATCTTGCAGTAGTAATGGGAAAGATTTCATAATACTTTGCCTCTACACAGAAGTATTGTGGTTATGTAGAGGAAAAAGAATTGTAAAAAGGTTTAACTTACATGAAGAATCAATTTCACACCTCTAGTTAGTTTGTTAAAACCAAAGTTTATTTTTCTGTTCAATAAAACAGCAAATGCAACAATCTTAGGTTTATCCAGGAATAGATATGCATATAAAGATAGCAAGTAAACTTGCTAATCACCCTAATGTCATACCCTAGCTTACCTGGCAGTAATTTGAGTTCCCATACCTGGAAGGAAGATTTACTGACCCAAAGCAAATCAACAGTTTTTAAAGAGGTCCACATTATTCCTTTTGCCATCATAAAAGGATGTACGTCTCTAAGTAGTTAACAATTCCCATGACTGACAAATACATCTGGGCATGATAGAAGGGAGGGACAGGCTACAACTAGATCCGAACAGGTTACAGGGGCGGGTGGATGAGAATAGGATGGAATTCAGTACTGACAAATGCAAGGTACTGCACCTAGGGAGAAAGAACCAGCACCATACCTACAGGCTGAGGAACTCCCTTCTCATCAGCACAGATGCAGAAAAGGATCTTGGTGTCATTATTGATTCCAAGATGAACATGGGCCACCAATGTGAGGACGCGGTCAGCAAGGCTATAACTGTACCTTGTCATGCATCCACAGATGCATCATGAGCAGGTCCAAGGATGTGATCCTCCCCCTCTATGTGGCACTGGTCAGGGCACAGCTGGAGTACTGTGTCCAGTTCTGGGCACCGCACTTCAGGAGGGATGTGGACAGCATTGAAAGGGTCCAGAGGAGGGCCACTCGCATAGTTAGGGGATAGCAGGGCAGGCCCTATGAGGAGAGGCTTCAGGACCTGAACCTGTTCAGCCTCCACAAGAGAAGGCTGAGAGGGGAGCTGGTGGCCATCTATAAACTTACCAGGGGGGACCAGCGGGGAACGGGAGAGACCCTGTTCCCCCGAGCACTACCAGGAGTAACTAGGAATAATGGCCACAATTTGATTGAGAGTAGGTTCAGGCTAGATATCAGGAGGTGCTACTTCACAGTGAGGGTGGCCAGGATCTGGAACCAACTTCCAAGGGAAGTGGTGCTCGCTCCCTGGGGGTCTTCAAAAGGAGGCTAGATAATCACCTTGCCAGGGTCATTTGACCCCAGCATTCTTTCCTGCCATGGCAGGGGGTTGGACTTGATGATCTGCTCAGGTCCTTTCCGACCCTACCAACTATGAAGATATCTCAAAATACATCCAAGCAAAAAACTGTAAATATAGTGTGCAGTGAATACAAAAGGAAAAAAAGATTAAATCTGGCATTAGAGTTCAAAAGTGATTTAAGACAAGCAGGCAAACTCGAAATCAACTGGGGACTTTTACACATTTCAAAATAAAGTTCAATGTAAACCATGTCATGTTAAATCTTTTTTAATGAAACATCCATATAGATGTTTTTCTTTTTTATTTCGGTGAATATCAACCCTAACCACAAGCTTAAGACTTTGATATTAAAGAGAGGGTCTTTAAAATGGAAAACTCATCACCTCTCAAGTTTTGATTTCTTTTTTTTTTCTTTGTAATGAAAGCCATTCTCATTACACATTGACTTAAATTTAAGGAAGCATGTGTGCTGATTGTCCTACATTAATGAGAATCAAGCAAGTCTTCTCATTTGGAACAAAAATAAACTATTTGTGGTACACTCTGCTCCATATGCTAAACTATCTTCTGTTTAGTATCACAGAATAAGATTAGTCCATTTACTTCTAAGTCACAAGAATGTCTACGTATTTCTCTGAACTGGTTTCTGCCCAATTACTTTAGATTTTCAGCTCCAAAGTTACAAATCATGATTACATAAGATATTTTTTAGCACATGTTTAAGAGCTTTTAATACTGAGCCCTTTGGCACTGGTTTTCAATTTACAATTAAAAATATATATTTTAAAACCACAGTACTCTTACCCTTACCTGTCATCTTATTTTAATTCATTTTCTGATGTCATTACCATCTTCCATTCTGTGGGCTGGATTCTCCATTCCATCAGCTTGTGGAAGTGAACTTAAACTAGCCAGAGGTCATTGCCAGAGAGTCCCCCTGGGCCAGATGAATGATAAGCTCGGAGCAAGCCTGCCTTCCTTTGTTTTTTTTTCTCAAAGATCATTTGTTTTCATTGCTTTATCTTTTGATAAATAGCAATTTTCCTTGCTTATTTCATCAAGCACCAATATCAAAAGAGTAGTGAGTCGGGTATTGTTTTATTTATTGATATTAGATAATGTGATTGCAGACCTTTCCTAAGGGATGCTTCAGATAGGTTTTGAATAGTGCCTTGCTCTTTAGGGTATCAAAGCAATCAAAAAGATAGTTTACTGAGGAATTTAACAGTTGTCATGGATAAAAAGAAAATCAGATGTCTAGTGTTCTCCAGGTAAAAATATTCTGAAATAAAAAAATAGATTAACCACAGTTATGCCTGGCAAATGTTGTAATAGTATGTTGGGTAAGCTATACACATTTTTTACAGCAAGAAACTGGTGGTAAAAGCATCTGACATTTAACTAAGCATTTCACATGAGAGTATTGTAATCTCTTTTCTGTAAATTTGAGATAGAAATTTCAAAAGTGATCAACAGTGGTCTAACTGTTTTTTTCATTAAGTCAGTTCTGAGGATTTTTGAAAATCCCACGGTCAAGGTTTACATGCAGAGTTTTCAGATAAGAAAAGTTTTCAACATTGGAAGAACAGAATAATATATCATCTGCCTGGAAGTTTGAGGAGTCAGTCATCCCACAACATAGTCTGCTTATTAAAATGAGTTGAAATGTATGAGTTGGCTTGACTGAATTCTAATAATTATTCAGAAATTTCTATTCCCATTCTCTCTCTCAAATAAAAAATATATTTTAATGCACAAGATCAGACCCACAAGGCTAGAATAAATTCTTCTGTTCAAAATCATATTTAACTTTAGGAAGTGATTCAGCAAAGTACCTGAACTAGGTCTATCCCTATTCAGCAAAGCCTTAATCATATATTTCACTTTAAGAGTCTCTAAGGGCATCTATACACATTCTCCAAGGTGGAGGGTGCTTTAATTAGAGTGGCTCTGAGAAGCACTCTAATTAAACCACCCGCAGTGTATTCAGCATCCCGTGCTTCAATATGGCGGCAGGGATGCTGAATAAACAAGATGTGGAGGCTGCTGGAGCACGCTAATTAGCACACTCTAGCAAACTTGCAGCAGACTCGATTAATCAAATCTGCTCTGACACATACTTATTAGCACACGTCGGAGCAGAGATCCTTTGTATGGATCATCCAGTGACAGTGTAAGGCTAGATTGTGGCTTTTCTCACACCACCACATAGAGAAATAATGGGGAACATCTTCATCTGCCCTGGCTCCTTCTACTGCAGTGCACTAGAGAGATCCGACTCTCCAGAGCTCCTTTTCCTCCTATGCATCTAACTAAGTAGGTAGAGAAGGACAGATAATGGTCTCTTAGTCTGCTCTTGGGATTTTGTAGCTGTGCCATGAATCTCACTTCCCTGAGATTCATGGCAAAGCCATGCTTTATTCCTTAGAGGCTTTATATAATGAGATAGTCACCATCTACATTTCCTAAAAATACTCACGTGTTCCTGAAGGGTAATAGGTATTATTTTTAGTAAATAATGTTGTGATTTTTCTCACAGGAAACTGCCACTAAAGGAAGAAAATGGGAAAGAAGCTTTAAATCCAGAAACTATAGAAATCAAAGTTATGAATGACATCATCCAGTCAAAAGAAGATGATAGCAAAGCATAATAAGATAACTACAGCTGTCTGAAAAAAACCATATGGATTGGAGTAACCCTGTGACCAAAACTTTATGGCTGACCTTAACGTCTTGGACAACTTAAGCTTGGAATAGTTAGTACATGTGTACATATGATCAAAATACTTCTGTCTACAGTACCTTTTTATTTGGTTTTGTTAATGGTTTTAGTATATGTAGTCCTGACTGATGCCAGTCCCATGGTATCAATTTGATAAAACCTACAGAATGAGAAATGTAATTTATTATATTGCAAAAGTGATCTATTTATAAAAAAGACTTTAAAAAAACTCCCTGCCAGACAATATATCAAATGACTCCACAACCTTTGGTGCAAGCTAAATACACGAAAGAAAATGTCATGTGCTCTTGCTGTGTTTGTTTCCATTTGTATAGTTTAGGTTGCTTTTGAAAGAAAAAAAATATCAGTATGAAATTTGAGACTATAGAATTGGCAAAGACTGGGCAGTCACTTCAGCTGTTTTTTCTAAATTGAAAAGAAATGGAATGACTGACTACTATATGGTGACAAGCCTGCAGTTTCACATGGGTTCTTTAGCACAGTAAAGGTTAATAAACATGATGTACAGATTAACAACCAAAATTACTAAATACCTTGCATTAAAAAATGTTGGCCTCATCCTAGCTATGTGATTTTGATGCTGAAAGGCCACAGGAATTTTCAGTGCTTCAGATATTCTGTATTAATGTTTGGAAGATCATATGTGAACTGAAATGTGGAAACTTGTTTTGTATGAAAAGAAAACTAATTTATGATAATAGCTTTTGGTTTCAGATGAAACCTTCAAATAAACACAAGCTCAAATTAGTTGCTTCAATGTATTTATACATATATATAATTTTTTTTTAAATTTTCATTCTAGCCATTTAGTCAGGGAATGATTCTCTGCATTTCAGTTTAACAAATAAGTTGTTCACTCCAACTCAGCATGTATGTTATAAAACAGTTGCACTTATTTAAGTAACAGTTTCTGCTTTATAATTTTACACCCATTTGTACTGGAAAACACAACAGGAAAGGAGAAAAGGAAAGACTTTGACTAAATGGCTAAGAACATTTTAAATGATTAAATTTCAGGCAAATATTTTTATTAAACATTCTCTAAAACAATTGTTTTCACTTATTCTAGTAACTGTACCTATGGTGTTCCAATAATCCATTTTTAGGTGAAAAATTAATCCCTGTCTACAATTCATTATTTTTCCGGCATTAAAAATAGGAGAAATAACTTTTCAGAGCCAATCTGGCACAGAATATCATCACCTTCCATACTGCTCAAGCCTGCATTTTAAAAGCAACAAATATATTCTACAAAAGACCCCCAAAAATATAATATTTAGGAGCAAGTTGTTGAGCAACCCACAAATGTTACCCAGCTGAACTCAGAGTAT